CCACGGAGTCGCGCCCGTCTGCCATTTGATGTTTATTAATGTCTTCCGAAAGGAGGCATAGGGTTTTCTTATTTAATGTTTCGGAATGGAGCACAGGGGGATAACCCGGTCTATTGCTTAATCTAACCAATTAATGAAGTGGTCAATGCTACTTAAATAAAAACCTTGTAATAAGTAACAATTGAATCATGTGTTCGAGTCAATGGTTATATTGAGTGTATGGAATGCTTGTTAGTATCATGCTAAGGCTCTTTACTGTGTTTTGTAGCTTGTGTGTACTCAGTGTTGCTGATGACGTGCTTTTGTGTGTTTCTCTTGGTCATGGCCTTCGCCTTCAATGACCCTGTAATGATCCAATTCTTACACTTGTAAAATTGGGGAGCAGATTAACCACAGGTTTTTGCATAAACTGATTTGCATCAGGGTGATGGGATTTGAGTGGAGCGTTGGTTATTCACTTAGCTTATTTTATATCATAAATCGAATTTTATTTTGGTTCTAATTCCATTTACTTTCTATTTTACTGGGTTTGAATAAGGGCCATTATGGTTCCAACTTGTAAGTCTAAATTTGGTTTTGATTATTAGTTTTGAAACTTACATTTTCTTTTAAAACTAAATTAGTTTTCCGCTGCTGATTTCTGAAACTAGCCTTAACGTTTTAACACGTGGCTGTAGCACATCATTAATTCTCTCACAGGTTATTAAAAGTATTTACAGGTTACCACAAGTTATTACAGGTTAATACAGGCTTTGAAGAGAGAATTATTGGGGTGTTACAGTTATCATTCCCCTTCTTGTGGTTATTTTTAGGTTGATGATGATGAGACTTATTTGTTATTTCTTTAGAAGGATTATGTTTAATCCTACTGGCCACAAAATAGACCTTTTGGAAAATGTCTAGACCAAGGTAGCGTAGATGCTTGTTGTACTTTTCATGACAATTGTCAATGAACTTTTGTACTAACTCGTGTTCGGGTGGGCAAGGTGAGCCGCTTTCACGCCATCTACCATAGAAAACAAGGAAACCTTCGTCGTCACTTTGCTTAAGCATTTCGAGTTCACGTAAAGTTGATTTGAACTCTACGTTACTCTCATATTGGGTGATGAAAGCCGAAACTACATTTTCGGATGGGCAAGGTGAGCCACCTTTTCACGCCATCTACCATAGAAAACAAGGAAACCTTCGTCATCACTTTGCTTAAGCATTTCGAGTTCACGTAAAGTTGATTTGAACTCAACGTTACTCTCATATTGGGTGATGAAAGCCGAAACTACATCTTCCCATGTGCTTTTGAACTTGGCATCTAACCCATAGTACCACTCTCTTGTGGCTGGGTCTAGAGATAAAGGGAATATCAAAGCGTAGAGCTTAGGATCAACTCCCTTTAAAGCCATGGTGCCAGTAAAACTCATTAAATGATTTTTTGGATTACTGGTCACCTTAAACATTGGTAAGTCCGTAACTACGAACTTTTCAGGTAAAGTAAGTCATGTGGGAGGAGCAAACTTCTCTGCGTCAAAGTACTTGTTCCCCATTGTAGAGCGAAGAACAAGCTTCTCTAATGTCTTCTCTTGTTTGGCCAAAGTATCCATTTTTTGTTTCAAAGCTAAAGCCTCGGCCTATTTCTTTTCGGCCTTTTCGAGTTTCTTGAGTCTTCTAACCTCGGCTTCTTGAGCCTTTTCCTCTCTCATGCGAACAATCTCATCTTGGAGTTGCTCGATGGTTGACATTGTTGGACTAGGATGAGTTGACCAAGGGAGATGGTTCGAAAGGGGTGGATTATTTGATGGTAAGCGTAGAATGCGAGTGCCCGGGTGTCTTCGTTCCCAAGCTTGGTAACCAGCCCTAAAGGAAGCACGAGAAGTTAAGAAAATCGACACGCTTGTTTTTTAAAAGAAAAGAAAAAGAAAAGAAAGAAGAAAGACGCAAATTATATTCGAAGGGATAACATCGCATTTTAACAATTCATTAATAATGATATTGTTTAACGAGCCAATTGTTCATTCAAAATGGTCTCGTAGCAGAAGGCGCGTGCAAGAGGCTAGGTAGCGCGCGGTTGGCGCGCACAGCCCTAGTACTTGCGCTTGGTGTGGTCGCGTAACTTGATGAGTTGCACACGCCGCCTATTCGAGCAAGATTTTTTTTTTTGTCAAACGATTTTTTTTATATATATATTTTTGACAATTTTTCTTTTTTTGTTTGTATGATATCCCTTAAATGTGACTCAAAATTACGAAGGGACAACTTCGCAATTGGGAACCTAAGTTAAGACTAAAAGGAAAAAGTTATCCTAAACACGTCGCAAATAGTCATGTAATCATATAAGCATACAAGAGAGCCTTTAAATCACATAATGTCATTCTAAGGTCAAGGCTTGGGTGTCCAAAGGTACCATATCTTAAGAAACGATGCACGAATCAATCACTCAACGTGTTGACCCATGACATAGCACTCTCAACATTTTGTTGGTGATATGGGTGGGATGATTGTTATTGATTTCGGGATAGAAGCCTGGTGTTGGCAGCCCCTAGCCAATGAGACAATCCCCAATGGTTAGAAGGTACTTATGACTATGCATGATGCAATGTTGTTTGTTTGCTTTTTACTTTTTGTGAAAAAAGGAAGATATTATGCGTTCAAGTCTCGCTCTCTAACTAGAGATTATCCAAGTTAGCTCTCGTTACAACCCATAGGTAACCTGGTGTTGGAAACCTTGGACCATAACTAAGAACTAATCTTGTAACCTCTAAGTCCCAGTGGAGTCGCCACTGTGAGGAGGGCGTGCCCGTCGTTGGGGATCCTTCTCCTCTATGCCCATTGCCCTTTAAAAGCCTAGGACTTTACACCGTTTAAGGCGTGTTAGGATTTGAATTCCCGACTGTTTGGGGGACCTTGAATTAGAGTTGATCCTATCATTATGCTTTTTTTGTAAGAAACTAGTAAGGAGTCGCCAATAAGTTTTAGGATAACTCATAAACCTTGTTCATGCCTTTCTCCCAAGTAGAGTTCAAGGGATATTTAGCACGAATCATAAGTTTACCCATGCCCAAATTGGTCTACGTGTACCAGAATTGAGTTCGGGAGCGAGGGTACTAAAATAACGTTCCTTTTAGGGAGGAATCGCTATTCTAGCCCAAGTGTGGCCTCTACTAGCTCTTCCTTTTTCCCAATTTCATCACCAAACAATATATGCAACGTGATACCTAGAACTAAGTTAGTTGATTTTATTTACACGCATTAATCACGAAAATATTACATTGCAACGAATGTCGTTATTCTTATCTAATTCAAATTCGTGAAAAGAAAAAAATAAACAAGATTCGCCTTGGCTTAAGTGATAAAACAATCAATTAATTTGTCCAATTCTAGTCTTGTTTAACGAAAGAATACTATGTCAAATTAATTAATTAAAGTTTATTTAAAGTGATCAAACAACACTAATTAATCGATTAAAAGTTGTTTAAACAAGAAAAGAAAAGGTGGTTTATCTAAGTGCTCGGGATTTTACCACTTTTCTTGCTAGATCTTCGTTTAGAATACTTATAGACTCTTTCTTGTTCGGGAACCTCCACCGTAAGAACAAATGATTAAAGGGGTGAGTGTTTAGGACAAGGGGAAATGATTAATGCATAAGATCACAAGGTTTCTGCTGACTTTCGGGTTAATTTCTATGTGTTCAAAGCTTCGTATTGCACCCTTATTTATAGGGAATGAGTGAATTTAGGGTTTTGAACCTTCTGCCGCAGCAGGTGGCGTGCGCATCTCGAAAGGTCGCGTGCGGCTACTGCGCGCAAGTGATTGAAGTGCGCTGCTGAGGGCAGCACAACCAATTGTCTTGCGCATGGCTTTATGGTAAGATTCGATTCAGCATTTTTATAAAATTCTGAATCTTCCGTGAGCGCACCACTGGAGGTTGTGCTGGACGTCATGTGCGCGCCAGGCCAGCGCGACTCCTTGAGTTGCGCGCGATTTTTCCTACGACAGCCTCAGAATTTAACTTAGGCACCCCTAAATCCGTCAAAAATTAGGTTTAATCTCGAGATTAAGCATAATTACTGATCGGGCTTAGTTTTAGTTAGCTTTGGTTCATTTTGTATTTGGTCAAGCTAGCTGTTTTTTGTGTTTTAAGCCTTAATCAGCAATCCATAAGTATTCTTCACGCCGATCCAACACAAAGATGGTTTTATTTATCATCATGGCACTTCCGGTCGAGACAGTGGCCAAAAGTAGATGTCTACAATACGTATTATTTATTTAACAATAGTCAAATTGATGCAATTAATTAATAACATAATACTAAAACAGACACCTGGAATGACACGTGTCACATCCTGGTGCTATTTTTTCCCTCCAAAATCCTTTTTTTTTTTTTTTACTTCAACTATTTATTTTAAATTATTCTTTATATATATTCATTAAATCATATAATTGTGATTCACTTTCCTAAAAAAATATTTATTTGTGATTCACATATTATCCATATCTTTTATTGTGTAAATTATTCTTTTATATTATATTATGTGTAATCAATATATTATATAAATTACATTGATTTTAAAATATATTTTATTGACTTTGATTGATTATATTTCCAATATGATAAATATTTTTCATAGTTTATATATTTATGAATGTGTTATTATTGTTTATTTAATTTCAAAAATATTTGTACAAGTATATCTTTTTCACAACTTATTACTAATTGAATTATCTTTGTTTTTTTTCCTACGGGATTAATAGTTTGATTTGTAAACCGTGCATCGCATGAGCACTATACTAGTTTATTCAAATATAGTTCGTATGATTGAATTGAATTAGATTGAATCGGAGTCTAGAAAATACTTGTACAAATATTCCTCTGTTCGTAATAATTGCAACAATTTCTTTATATATATATATATTTTATAATAGATCCAACACATTCATATTTGGAAAGAATACACTATTACTTCGTATTATTTATCTCTTACATTAACCTTATTTTCGCAAATATTTTATTTTTTCTCTCTTACCAACCCACTTACGCGACCTTTTTTTCTCTTTCCTATTTGACCCTATAATTTCTCTAAAACTTTATGCATAACATAATATTGCGATTATTACAAAGCCAGTGAATTCATCCAAAAGAATAGCGTTTACTCCGTTTAGTCCGTTAACCCGTGGCCGGATTTTTACTTTTCCACTTTCTCACTTGCCAAGTTGCCACGCGCCACCAAATACAGCCGAATTGTCCTTTCAATTCCAGAATTTCTGAACTCTGACAATTCAGCATTTTTACGCAAAGCTTTCAAATTTTTTTCTTCTACGTATACAAAGTACAACTCTCATGTTTTCAAATTTTTTACCAAAAGGGTAGTAATGATCATCCTCTATTTCAAAAAAATTCGAAAAAGTAAAACAAAATGATCAAAATTGAATGACTAAACGATGAAGAGGAAGGAGTATTGCAACAATTCTGGACAATTTTCCACATTTTGTCCAGAAAAATCATCTGGGTTTAACAACCACAACAATAAGAAGATCAAGTATTCAAGAACAGCAGCAATATCATCTGGCCAACAATTCCCGCTCACACATTGTCGTTGCGGAGGAGGTTTCTGCAAAATCAAAATCACTCCTAAAACTCAGAAATTTTTCTATACTTGCCCAAATGTTTACGTTAGTGTCCCAATTTTTCTGGGTTACCCTTCGTTTTCTTGTTATCTCCCTAAAAATTGTATCTTTAAATTAGGGTTTTTGTGTTTTTTAATTAGGGTTTTTGATTGGTTGCAGGAATTGCACTGTGGGTACTTCAAATTTTGTGAGGATTTGAAGGAAAAAGAGATTTCGCATGATCGTCCTCAGCCTAATCCGATTTGTTCATGTGGGGCTGGAATTTGCAGGGTTGAAACTGTAAGAGAAGGCCCTGATTCTGGTCGAAATTATTTTGCTTGCAGAATTAAAAGGGTAAGCTATTTTTCTGGAAAATTTGAATGAATTTTATTTTATTTATGTGTTTTGATTGGGACCACTGTTTGAAGTTATATTGAAATGTTGATTATGTTTTTTTATTTTTTTACCGTTAAGTATGAAACTTGGTATTATTGGATTGGAATTTGGAATGTTGGTGATGTTAATGACTGACTCATACTTGTGGAAAGTGTGTAAATAAGTTTGAGAAAATGATGGAACGGACGGAAATGAAAAGTGTGAACTTTTTTTAAAGGTAGGGGGAGTATTTAGTTGTCCAGTAACTAATGAGTTATGAACTTATGATCCAGGTTAAATTACAAACATCCTCCTAGTTGTCATTTTGGTATGATAGCCGACATTGAACTTCTTTTTGATTGTTTGTTTCCTTTTAGATTTACATATACCAATGCTTTCAAGAAGTATTGTACTCCGTAATTGTATTATCCACTATTAATAATGTTTTGAATTCAATAGTGTGCGTCCCTCGATCTTGGCTATTGAGTCGAATAGGATGGATTTTATGACATCTACACCTATTATGGTGTGATATCACAAGTTTTTCCCCTCTTTAGAAGCAAGTGTGTTTTTGACTAGTGCCTTGCTTCAATTCTGTGTTGAACTTGTTGATCATGTATGTAAAATTGTACATTTGTGTACTGGTAGTAAAGGAGAAGGGCTTAATGGTGAAGAAGGTTGTTGACTTGTCGCTCAATCTCTAATGTTGATATAGGTTGATATGAAGTGATATTTAATGTGTCACATTGATTACAAAGGATTATAATGGTGAACGACATGAATACATTGGGGTTTGGTCGAGTAGTAGACATTGATGGAGATGTGTTATAAAGTGTATACTGGAATTTAGTATAGTATAGAACCATAACAGTAACCTTGACTCTTTAGGTACCAAAGAACCACTTAGCCTGCATATAGAATAATTGTCAAGTTTCAAGTGCAGCCGTACAGGTGCATGGCACTAAGTTTTAGCTCAATGACTTCATGGCCATGGGGGTATCAACAGATTTAAACCTCAGATGAACTAGCTTAGGTATGGGATAGGAGTTTTGCGTTCTCTATACTTAGCTACCCAATGCAAGCCCAAAATAATGTTAAAGGGAATTACCAGTGGAATTACGGCACTTTTTAAAATTAGAATGGAGGTAAACCAAACGCATTTCCAAGATGCCTACTGGCTTTATCCAATGCAGTTTGTACTTGATTAACTCCAAAAAGAATGGCAAATAATCTATCAATTTATGTTTCTTAGACTGTTCATTTCACGTCAAATACCCATGTTGGATCCTCGTCCCTTGTTCTAATAAGGCTGCAAATCCCAAAAAAATTCTCTATCTCTCACAACCATGAATAGTTTTGAGCTTGAGGTAGTTTCCATTTTCCTGAGTTCAGTTACACAACTTTGCAACAGAATAGTATCACATCAAGGGGTTTATAGCTTACGGTGAGGTTTTGATTGGACAAGTCCTACTGATCCATTTCTCCAATCATTCTTAGCCTCTTAGCCGTCTTAGGTCTAATGCTTTTTCTCTTGCAATCATTTGAATATGATCTTTCTTCCTTCTGAAGTTGAGATATCCGAATGTCTATTCTTAAGTTGGCAATCCCCCATTTAAAACGTCGCCCCTAGTATCTTGTTTGGCTACAATTCCATTAAATTATCTCATCATCTATCATTATTAACTTGATAACTTGAGGTTCTTTTCATTTATTCCTTATTTCCTTGGATTTTAAATATTGAGCTTGCAGGCTCTTTTTAGCTTAGTCAACTTTTTGAATTCATACTATTGTACAGGGAGAAGGTGCTTGCAATTTCCGGCAATGGCAGTGTGCCACTGCTTATGATAATAGCATAAGCAATGAGATTGAGATGATTTGCAAAGAATTTGAAAATGGTGAAATTGATCCTGACTTTCTCCCTCCTCTTGAGGAAGCCCTTGAAATCAATTCTTCAGGTGAAATATTTTCTGGAGACAATGATGCGCATCATAGTCCTCTACCAAGTCCCAGTAGCCCATTAGATGTGGAGGCTCTTGCACCAATGGGTATATACTCAGTTTTATGATATGTCATAAGCTAAAATTTTCATTTGATTCTGATATCACATGCTTCTAAATTCTATTAGAGTTATAAATATTTTTTGGTGTTTGTATTTGCCGGATTTATTAGCAGGCTCTCGCTGTGTGGTGGTGAGGTGGCTTCCCAACAGTTGACTCTTCATCAGAAAGCCTTTTCTTTTTGGTAAGAAGGTTGAATGTTGAATCACCTGTATAAAATTTGTACCATCATTTTATCTTCTGCTTTGAATTTTCATTAGCCTCCATACGAGTATATGTCTTTACTTAAAGAGCTTGCTTCTCATAACAACACTTCTAATTTAACAACAATTTTACAAATATCTGATTAAGTTACCAGACTACTAATTTCCTTGGTTTGTATATTCCGACAATTACTTGACAGAAAGTAGTTTGGAAGAGTTTTAATACTTTTAAATGTTCTGTCCTATTCGTAGGAGTCTGCTGCTTTAACACAGTCCAGTGAGGCAGAGGGTTTAAAGTTCTCGGTGAGAACTGTGATGGGGTCTCTGGACATTGGTGACAAATGGGGCTAGTACATCAGAAGTTAAATTTAAAAACCAGGTTAAGACTGCAGTAATTTCTTTTGGATGCTAAGCGTCATGTTACAAACCTAATATGTATTTAACTAATTAAAGTGTGAAGTTTGCTGATGCCTAATGGTATGGCGGCTGCTCTTTTTACAACTGAGCCGTTTCTAAAATATCTTTACTCGTACCTAAAGAATGTTGTTTGTAAATAAAGGTCCTCTACTCCTATATTTGTTGAGAAAATCTAAGTTCATCACCTTGATAAATGTATTATGTTTTTCTAGTGGCGTAATCATAATCAAATGTGTCGGCATTCGCGCTGGATCAATAATGAAATAATACTTTAGTGGATTGTCTAGGAGGGAGCCTAGGTTTCTTACAGAGATAAACCTGGGCTGTTCATCTCACGCAATTATTGTACTACAAATGCATTGGTTTCCGCGCTGGCCCATTAAAAAATACATTTTGTACTTAATTTGTCATATGTCAGTGACATGGAGATGACGGACATTAGCGGACGTTTGCTACTGTTTGCAAAAGTCATCGTCTTCCTCCTTTGACTCCACCCTCCTATCTTCTTCCTATTCATCTTCTTCTTCCTTCTTGTACATCTACTTCTTCCCACCTTTGACTCTGCCAATAAAACCATTTCCGGCGGCAAGCTGCCGGAATTAAATGAAAACCCTAATAATAATGGGAAAAATAAGGATATGATTAATCCAAAAGGGTAGGTAAGCTTTCCCTCCTCCATTGATTTCGCTTGTTTGATTGTGAAGATTGAAAAGTCATTATATCTGCCATTGAAATCAAGGTTGAAGCAACAAAGAGAAAACCAGAGGGAGAGATAATGGAAAACGGCAGTTAAGTCATAGTTAAATGCTAATTACATAAATACCCGTGTGATAAAAAAGAATTGTTTGTCTCTGTTATAAACTTGTATTTACCTTTGGCACATGAAAAGGCAAATTAACGTCGTTATAATGTGACGTTCCCTCCGTTGGAGTGTGTTCGGTTACGTCTTTACTCCACTGAACTCATATAGAGTTATAGATTATAATCTTGTTAACTCTGAATAACTGTATCAGTTAGTCATAGAGAGAAAATTAACCATCGGTGTTCGTCTTTGATTCCTTTGCTAGGGTTTTGAAGATCTGGGGTACTGTCTCATGGCGTGTAGTAGTGAATAATTTATAAAACGGTGTTGAAGCTTGATTTGTGAAGTTTTTTTTTTTTTTTTTCTTTTTGCTTTGCTAGGGTGTTAAAGCTCAAAACCAATTATGACATGTTTTAGCTAAAGAACTTTGGGAATGTACTGTTTTATTGAATAATTAAACGATGAGTATGCAGTGTTAAAAGAAGATGAGTTCTTAGTGTTTAAAAAATTGATAAGGTCGACATTTTTGTGTACAAGTTTTTGGTGATTGGTAATTTTTGTTTATTCTAATGGTTTGGGTAATCTTGTTTTCAATTGATGGTGAATTTGTGCGAATGTCGTATGTTAAATTAGGCATCTTTGTCTTCTTTATTATTATATGCGTTGTAATGGTTAGTTTGTGGTTGCTGTTCTTCCCTTTGTCGTGGTTTATATTTATGATGGATGATATTATGGATAACATTGTTCGCGTTGATGTTAGTGTGAGTTGCGATCCAACTGGTAATGGTGAAGCTTGAGAGTACTTCATGGGTGATGAGTTTGATACAGAAATGAGAAATTCATCCAGCTCAGTTAAAGACTGTTCTGCTAATTTTGAATCCAACAAATGAATAGGGAGATAAAGAATTCAATGTGCTGTAATTATACACAGCTATTGTAAAAAGTTTATGCCAATTAACCATAGTTACAACGGCGCCATCATGCCAGTAACGTTGTTAGTTCAACACATTAACTCCAGTTAAAACTTACCCTTCACAGTCTTTGACCTGGGCTTGCTCATATTTGTTCCACCATCAAATCTAGCAGAGGTTAATTATGACTCGGTATAAGTTATTTCTATGATACTTTGCCTGGTACTTCAGTAACAAGTTCAGCTACGTAAGTTAATTACTTAATTACGAGTATTACTCAATACTGGTACCAAGTTCTTGTCCAGGGGAGGGAATCTGTAACTTCTAGCTAATACTCCTACAAAGAATCTAGACCACGAAAAGCTAAGTGGCTGACATATAAAACTTAATTATTTGCTTGATGAGGTGTGTCATAGCATTCATATTATGTATTATCTCATTTAATATTCGATGTAACTTTTACTAAAGCGATTTGCTACACATTAAATGCAACTTTTTATTTATTTCTTTTTTTAGTAAGCTTTTCATATAAAATTACTAAAATACCCCGACTAATAATTTCATAAACTCAATTAGATAACTAAACCAGATAACTAAATCAAAACTTATTAAAACACTAATCAAACTTAATTTACCTAATGATTTCTCTAATTTAATTTACCCCCAAACTAAACTCATTCAATTTACCTAAATTTAGAATCCAGTAAACTTCATTTCACTGTTCATCTTCCACGAATTCTCCTAGCACCATTCTCCAAAGTCCTCTCTTCTCCTTCCTTTTATATTGTTATTTGGTCATCTTCCATACGAACCTTACCAAATTTGGATGCCCCGGAAGATCAAGAAACAAGAAAATAAACAAACCTTTCAGAAAAAAGGAAACCCTAGCAAGATTGCTAGACAAATCCTCGTATATGAAGTAATTAAATTTGATAAATTTTAGTTGGCTTAGAGATGTTGTCATGTCATAATTATATTTATTATCATACTACTTTTGTATCACTTTTCAAGGGTGAAGAGTTATTATGCACAATATTAAGCATCAGAGAGAATATTTCCAAGAAAAAAAAATAAAATAGTCATTTGTGAATTATTTGTATAGACTTATAATAAATAAATATACGATTTTTACACCATATTTCCTTGAGTTTTTTGTTTATTCACCATATACCCCTGAAAATTTTCAAATTCACCATATACCCTGAGTTGTTACAAAAATTAACCATATACCCCTAATGACAATAAGATGAATGAAATTTGGTTAATTATGCATCGAAAACACTTAGAAATCTCCCCCCCCCCCCATCCCCGAAATCACTCCTCTCCTTTCTACAACCCCAAAACCACTCCAAATCTCCATAACCATATCCGTATGATTGATTTTGAGGATGAAAAAAGGAAATTTGGGGTGGAAAAAAGAAATGTGGGTGATTTCGGGGGTAGGGGAATGTATTTAGGGTGGTTTCGGGTCATAATAAACCCTAATGACTGACGAGTTAACAATCATTAGTCACCAAGGATATATGGTATATTTTTGTGAAAAATTTAGGGGTATACGATGAATTTAAAAAAATTTAATGGGCATATGGTGAATAAATAAAAAAATTGAGGGGTACATGGTGAAAAAACCGAAAAATATAATCAATTTCGTAGACAAATTAATGCTTCACAAAAAAAAAGAAAAAAAAAGAAAAATAAAAGGTAGAGTTTAAGGGGGAATATTCCCTCCAAAAAAAACTTCACTTTAGTATAGAGTAATTATAGATATATAACTTCAAAAAATATAATAATAAATAGATATAATCAATTTTTTAGACAAATTAGTGCTTCACCCGAAAACAAAAAAAAAAAAAAAAAAAAAAAAAAAAGAAGGAAAATTCCCTCCAATTTTTTTTTTAATTTTAATATAGAGACATAGATTATTGTTTGTTTGATAATAAAATGTTAATATTGAATGTTTTTCTAATAAAATAATAATTGATAATCAAACAGGCAATAATTAATTGTATAAAATAAAATCTAAATATTGAATGTTTTTCCAAAAAATTAACAATTGATAATCAAACAAAAATGTTTTATATACTCCCTCCGTTTCTTATACATTTCTTATTATTTGTAATAAATGAGTAATTCATATATGTTTCTTATTATATATTTTTATATACACAATACTCCCTCCGTTCTTGAATATTTGTCTCATTTGCCATTTTGGGCGAGCCTAAAGAATTGTTTGGTTGACAAAATAAAATGGGAGAAGTGAAAACTCAGGGGATTTTGTAATTTGGGTAATTGTTTGATTGACTTAAAAAGGGAAGTTGGAATTTATGGGAATTTCTACTTTCCACAAAACATAGGAAGTAAATTACCTAACCCCCCCCCCTTGGTCAATCAAAATTCATGAGAATTCCAACTTTCCATTGTCACAACCAAACAATTTAAGAAAATTCCTAGGAATTTCATTTGGGAAATAATTTCCCATGAAATACAAATTCCTATGGGAACTTATTTCCCGTATTAACCAAACGAAGCCTTAATGTTCTACCTATTTGTTATTTGTACTAATTTTGGGGCCCTTAGAATGATCGCTTTACTCTCATTTTTTTGTCCTTATTATATGCTATTCTTATTTTACCCTCACATTTGCAAAAGAAGTTACCCACTTTTGACTAATTTAATTTTTTACCCATAAAGTGACTCTCTCTCTCTCTCTCTCTTTGAAAATGATTGAGAATTTATCATTTCCACGTACTTTCATTACTCCACCTTAATTTCCGTGATTTTTCACCAAATGAGAAAATCATTTAGAGAAGAAGAGAGTATATCTGTATATATAGAGAGGAAGTTCAAGTTTATATTCTTATAAACAGATACGAAGTAGTTTTTAGCAAAGGTTATTTTTGTAAACTCTGTGACAAGGAGGGTTTGTATTTGTAAAATCAAAGTTGAGTAGGTAACAATGGTATTGCTACCTCTACAGTGATTTCTCCATGGAGTCCTGAAAGCACAAGCAACAATCAGTGGCGGTTTCAGAAAATTTTTTGTTATGGGTTCGGAGTTGCTAAACAAATATTTCGTATATGAATGAACTCAAATAACATAATTCAATATACAGTACACATTTGGGTGTGCACATTTATAATACAAGTGCAAAATAATAAAATATTATAATTGAACTTGACAAGTCTCCAAATTTTGGAACAATTATATATCTATAATCTCTATAAATCTTAACTAGAAAAAATTAAATCTTCAATGTAATCATATTTCATGATTAAGCTATTTTAGATAATGGGTAATTGGGGTATTAAGTATGTAAAGTCCAAAGAAACAAAGTAAAAGCCCAGCGCATTCGAAGGTTTCGACTCACGTTTCTTCTATTATTATTCCGTGTTCTGTCTAGAGCTGTCAATTCGGGTAAACGGGTTGGGTTTGGGTCGGGTAAATATGGGTCGGGTCATTTCGGGTTAATGTCATAACCTCTACGGGTCGGATTTGAGTTGGGTCATGCTTGAGTCGGGTAACGTCGGGTCATACATCTTTTCGGGTTTGAGTCGCGTTAAGGTCGGGTTACATTCGGGTCGGGTGAATAATAGGTCAGGTTTAATTCGGTTTTTCACGGGTTAAAACGGGTTAGGGTCATTCTCGGGTTCGAGTCGGGTTCGGTTCAAGTCAATTATTTGCGGGTTATCATCAGGTCGGGTCATTCTCGGGTTTGAATCGGGTTCGGTTCAAGTCAATAATTTGCGGGTTATAATCAGTTAGGGTCATTTCCAAGTTGGGTCATTCTCGGGTTCAAGTCGGGTTCGGTTCAAGTCGATTATATGCAGGTTACAATTAGGTCGAGTCATTTACAAGTCGGGTCATGTTCGGGTTCAAGTCAGGTTTGGTTCAAGTCGATTATTTGCGGGTTACAATCAGGTCGGGTCATTTACAAGTCTGGTCATGTTCGGGTTCAAGTAAAAAAATTGCAGGTTATAATCAGGTCGGATCGTTTCCAAGTCAGGTCATGTTCGGGTCCAAATCTCAAATATTGGGTTAACATGGGTATCGGGTTGATTTCAGGTCAGGTCATATTAGGTTCGGGTACATGTTTTGGGTTGGTTTGTTAACAGTTCATGTAATGACATTCACGTTGACTCATTATCAATTACTTTGTTTATTATAAGAGAAATAATTTCAGATAAGTTTAAATTCTAATAAGTTTAGATAAGATACGTTTAGCTTAGATTTTTAGAAGATAAGTTCAAACCCTATTCTAATTTATTCACATTGATTCCACTCATTTTAGGGATAACAATTTAGATAAGTGCATATTGGAGATGACATGTTTAGATAAAATGCAATAAGTGAAAGGAATGGTGTCCTTCCAACAAGTGTATTCTTCCGATAGAGGGTTCAGAATTATTACGGAGCTAATTCTTCAATAAGGTCAAGTGATCGGAATGCCTAGGTGGAGGCCGCTTCCGATCAGTAATATCAATAGACAATTGATGTTACAGCTTAATCTTAACTGAACCCTTCGGGTCGAACCCAATCGAATCACCGATTCGAGACGACAAATTAATCCGAAAGGATTTAATGAGTCATCAGAGTTTTACGAATACAGACGTCGGATATCGAGCCTAAGGCGTCGAGACCGAGCATCGCGAAATTACAAAGCAACAAGTATGAACATAGCCCTAGCACCACACTGGCCTAGCCATGTGGATGCTAGGCTAGTTCAGGCTAGCATGCACCTAGCATGGCTAGGCGCAAGCCTAAGCACACTAGGTGTGCTAGGCGCACCATCGCAGCCTAGGTGCACCATCGCAGCCTAGGCGCGGCCTGGTAGCCTATCGCAAACAATGGGCGCACCAGGCGCACCGAGCAACCCATCGCAGCTATCACAGCCCTAGCATGAGGCTGGGCACCATCGCTTCCTTGAAATCCAAACCTCTTGTCATGTGAATATTAGTGTTCCCTCTCTAGTTAGTAATGTGAATATTTTCGCTTTCTCTTCAAAAAAAAAAAATGATGAAAAAATTGAAAAATGAAAAAAAAAAAATTCCCAAGGTTGAGACTCAAATGACAATGCTTATATGTTTTTCTTGCTTGACTCTTGAGCGATGAGTACTAGTTCTCTTAGAAGGGTGTATGCAAGAGATGGGGTCATTTAGAGGTCTATTAATCTTGAT